GAGCAGCCAGCCCGGGCCCCTATGTCTCCGTGCCCCCCGTGCCAGCAGGCCCAATGCCGGCCTCAGGGAGGCCCGTGGCTCTCTCCAGGCCCTGGCCAGGGTGAAGGCCTTGTCTGCAAGCCCCACCCCCCGGGGGGGGGGGGTCGGTCCCAGGAAGTTGTCACTTCAGGCTGGTCTGGCTGTCCCGACGGGCAGAAGCATTTCTGACAGGCCCTGGAGTTTAGGCAGTGGACCATGAGGGCTGGGCCCCCACTGTGCGCAGGAGCTCAGACAGACACCAATCCCGGGCAGCCAGGATGTGACCTGGGTGGGTTCACCTGGAGGCTCCCTCCCCAGGTAGGAGTGGCAACTAAAGAGATCCCATGGGTGGCCATGGCCCAGCAGGCTCTGGGACAGGCCTGGGAGGCTCTCAGGCTGCATGCAGCAAAGGGATGGGCAGCATTGGGGGTGCAGAGATGGGGGTGGGGACACCTTTTTTAAAGATTTATTTAGGGGTGCATGGGTGGCTCAGTCAGTTAAGCGTCTGCCTTTGGCTTGGGTTGTGGTCCTAGGGTCCTGGGATCAAGCCCCACATGGGGCTTCCTGCTCAATGGGGAGTCTGCTTCTCCCTCTGCCCCTCCCCCTGCTTGTGCCCTCGCACTCTCTCTCTCTCAAATAGTCTTTTAAAAATTTGTATTTTTGGGGGGCGCCTGGCTGGCTCAGTCATTAAGCATCCGCCTTCAGCTCAGGTCATGGTCCCAGGGTCCTGGGATCGAGCCCCGCATCGGGCTCCCTGCTCAGCGGGAGGCCTGCTTCTCCCTCCCCCACTCCCCCTGGTTGTGTTCCCTCTCTCGCTGTGTCTCTCTGTCAAATAAATAAATAAAATCTTTAATAAATTTTTTGTATTTATTTGAGAGAGCGAGCGAGCACAGGGAGGGGCAGAGGGAGAGGGAGAGAGTCCCAAGCAGACTCTGCACTAACCGGGGAGCCTGAGGCGGGCCTTGATCCCACCACCCTGAGATCAGGACCCTGAGCCAAAACCAAGAGTCGATGCTTAACCAACTGGGCCACCCAGGCGCCCCCTGGGGACACCCTTTTTAAGGTCAGTCTGGTGCATCCAAGCCGGACAAGATGACTGTCTGCTATTTATTTTTCTGGCATCTTCTATTTATATTCACGGTATGAAGTGTCATTTTAAAAAAAATCTGTAAGTGAAAAAGTGAATGGACTTTTTAAAAGATTTTATTTGAGATAGAACAAGTGAGAGCAGAGAGACTGAGGGAGTAAGCACGCATGAGAGGGGGGAGGGGCAGAAGGAGAGGGACAAGCCGACCCCCCCCCAGCCCAGCCACGGTGTGGGGGTGGGGCTGGGGCTGGGGGAAGATGCTCAGATCTGCAGGGAGGGCCCGTCAGGCTGAGAGAGTGACCTGGGGGTTCTAGGAAAGAGAAGGGGTCAGGGTGCAGGAATGGGAGAAGTGGGTAAGGTTGGTGGTGCCTACTTAGGGCCTGTAGGTCATGTGTCCAGTGGGACTCTGAATTTCCACAGTTGGAAAGCAGGTGTTTCAACGTTTACACAAAAGAAGTTTTCCTGGCTCTGGTGACTTTGAAGTTCAGGGGATTCTTTGCTTCAGGCGAGGCTGGATCCAGACTTTTGGAGCAAACACTCTGGCCGGGTTCCTTGCCCCTCTCAGGGGTTGGCTTCATTCTCAGACCAGCTCTTCCCACACAACATTTTTAGGCAACAGCGGGCAGTCCACCCCTCCGGCAGGGAAATCCTCTTCCCTGTGAGCTTCAGCAAAGGCGTCAAGGCCAAGGAACCGAATGGTCTCACTGGCCAAGACCTGGGGGCCCCGCCGACCCCTGGGCAATGGTGGGTGAGCCCCACCCAAACCCCCATGGACTGAGGATGGAGAAAGGAGGTTCCCCGAAACAGGGGTCACTACTACTGGAAGTTGGAATGTTTGCGGGGCAAGTGGGCACCACCCTGGCCATGATGCTGCAGGAGGACCCTGGGGTCAGCTTTGGTGGGCGGGCTGGGCCTTCCCTCTCTTATGTCAGCCTGACGACACCCCAGCACTCAGCCACCAGCCGTGCGGCACAGCCCAGGCTCCCGCCTCTGGTTTCCAGTGGGACTGCCCAGGAAGATGGCTCCAGGCAGAAGTGGGGGGGCCACCTCTTCCAGCCCACCGCCACCTCGCCTCTGGGATCCTGAAGGAGGTGGATGAAGGAAAAGCTGCTGGTGTGCGTGTGAACTTGGAGCAGTGCACCACACATTCTCTGCACGGGGCAGGCGGTCCATGCTGAGTGGTGTGCAGGGGGCCCTCATCTTTGCAGTCCTGCCCACACGCCCTTTCTGGTGGGAGGGAGGCCACCAGCGCCACACTCAGCTACCTGGGAAAGGCGGGTGCTGACCCTCAACCTCCTCCTCCCCTCCCCTTAATGGAGCAGAGATTACAACAGGCTCAGATGCTCCTGTAATCCCCATTAGCCCTTCTATTTCTGGGCAGGGGGCTGCTGAAGGGGCTCTCCCTGGAGGCTCTCAGGACTTAGATCCAGGATCAGAGAAGGACTGTCTCTGTGACGCCAGGAGAAAGGGTGCCAATCCTCCCACATTCCCTTCGGGCTGTGGCTGGTGGCACACAGTTTCCAGGGCCTCAAAGAGCCAAGCACTGGGACTGGGCCTCAGTAGGACTAGAGAAGGTATCCCTACCGGCCGTTGGCAGGGACAGCTGTGGAGACAGGTATGGAGGCTGATGTGGGGTAAAGGGTGGGGGAGTCCCTCATGGTCTCTGAGGACAGTTCCTTTGCTTCACTAGCCCAGATCCTTCACGTGGGAAGAAAGGCTTTCTTCTCCCCAGTCCTGCTGCAACCCGACAGAACCTGCACAGGGACACCTGGGCACAGCTCTCCCCACCATCACCTGCTCTGTGCCCCCAGTAGGCAAGATGCCCTGGAGAGAGCAAACGCCCACATGGCAGGGAGTGGGGGGGACAGACAGCAGAGCCCTCAGCCTCATGGTAAGGCCTTCCACCCGGCCAGGAGTTGCCCTGACCAGGAAAAGCTCCGCACTGGTGAGCCCTCAGCCTCCGAACAGGCTCAGGGTATAGGCACCAGATTCCCCAGGGAGGCATCAGGTCGGATCTAAGTGGATTTCTACTTTGCCAGCTTTGCAAAACCCTGAACAGCCCTCCTGTTTCTGCCTGGCTCTTCTCTCTGGAGTGGGCTGCCAGACTGGCCACCCAGGGGTCCTCAGGTCCAGAGATGCCAGAGTAGTGATTTGGGCCACTGGAGACTCTGGGGCCTCCCCTCTCCCCCACCCTGTCACCTGGGGCAGATGCAGTTGTTTCAGGCTCCCACAGGAAACTGAGGCCCAGGGAGCTCAGGGTAGGGACATGGGGTCCCTAGATCATCATCACTTTTTGCATCCCTATGGAAGCTCTTGAGTCCCCCCACCAAGCTGGGGCAGGACTCTAAGCCCAGGGATCTCTGGGCCTGAGAGTGGGGTAGAAGCCAGGGCCAGGGAGTGCCCCTCCCCAAATCTTTACCCCCAACCCTTCCCCACTAGGTACAGAGGCCTGCAGAGACCCCATTCAGGGTCCCAACTAGCTAAAGGGTCCCAACACTGAAGGGTGTTGGGGTCAGGGTCCTCTAGGCCGTAATGAGGCATGCTGGACCTGGGTAAAGGGCTTCTGACCCTCAGCCTCCAGCTTTGGTAGAGGCCTTGACATCTGGTGCTGACCTGACCCAGAATTTTTTGGGATGACCAGGAATTAGTAAGGCTGGGCGTGGGTGTGGACTCAACGATCTGTGCAGGCTACATAGTCCCTGTCCTGTTCCCCGCCCCCCCACCCGTGAAAACCGCACCTGGGAGGAGCTACGGGGAACCCAGAGCCCACAGGACAACTGCCAGGACCACTCTTCACCTCCCTGCCCAGGGCACAGAGCGGCCCCTCAGCCAGAGACGGGCCCCCCCGCACCTGAGGTGTTTCTGCGTCAAGTCCAGTCGGGTCAGGCGGACCCCTTGCCCTGGAGGGGTGTTCCGAGAGCCCGGTGCTCTAGGCGAGGGTGGTACTGAGGGACGGGGCGGTCTTGGGCAGGTCCTGAAGACAAGAGTAGGGGAGGGTGTGTGTCCCTCCTTCCCCGGTCGGTGCACCACGTGAACTTGTGGGAGACTGTTCTTTTTGTTCCGCCCGGCCCCCTTCGCGGGATATCGGGAGGGCTAGCCCAGGGCCGTATCTGTGAAGGGAAGAGAGGCGTAAAGGGCTGATCAGAGCAGAGGATGCTCTTGGACGAGAAGAGCGATTCAAGTTTTCACCAAAGAAATCCTCCTCTCTCCGGCGCCCCTCCCATGTGGGCGCTGTCCGTCTCTAAACTGGCGAAGGAAAGTTTCCGTCCTCGCCCCTCTCCTCGTCAGCGCAGACCGACCCTTACTTTGAGTCCCCACCGCGGATCTGGGAGGGGGCGGCCCGGGACACAGTGACCCGGAGTCCTGCGCGCTCCAGACCGCTGTCTCCCCTCCCTATCGGGGGCCACGGCCAAGGGCAGTCGAGGGCCTGCCCTCGGGGGCCACGACTGGGGCCCCGGTCCCCCGGAAGGCCTCAGGAGAGGCCCGGCAGGGGCGAGAAAGGGGCGGGAATCCGCCCACTCGGCGACAAAAGAAGGGACAGGCGGCGTGGACCGCGCGCGCGGGGCCTGCAGCACCGCCACCCTGCCCGGCCCCACGCGCTGGCCGTCCCTTCTCCTTCGCGATCCGGCCTCCCGGGCCCGCGGGCCGGCGAGGGTTAAGG